TCTTCATTGGCTTCTTTATTATTTCAAAATGTTTCTGATAAAGTGGAGATAACTCCACCAAAAGCAAAACAAAAGATCCAGGCCTTGACACTTGAAAACATGCAAATAAAAGTAGGATCCCAGCCCAGTCTGAACTGTTTTTCAGTTTCTGCAGATTTAAGGTAAGTTTAAAGCAGCAGTTTAATGTGGAAAGTGCAATGCTTTGTTTACCATGTCCTGCTCTCCAGTGGAAGACTCAGTGTCAAATGATGGCAGGGCAGGGTGGAAAATTTCCCAGTCTGACCATCTGAGGGCGAAAATGAAAGTTAAGGAGAGTGCTAAATTTGCAGAGATGTGCTGGTAAACCCATTCCTTCCTGTCTGCTTGCTGTCAGTTTTGGCCAAACTCAGACATGCAGAAAGAACAGAATTCCCTCATCAGTCACCTCTCCAAAATTCCCAGGGATGAGGAAGTGAGGGAGGACCAAAGGCAGTCAATAACCAGATTTTGTTGTGCCTGGCTGCACGTTGGCTCAGATAGAAGCAATTGCTGACACCTCCTGACTCACCCCTGAGATCCTCAGCCACAGCTGCAGCAGCAAAGACAAAATTACAGCAAAAAAAGGGCAAAATAGCAATTAATAGTTGACTGGGCCTAAACCCTGGTGTCCTGCGTGTGGCTGTCACAAGTTAGGCTCTGTGTCCTGCACTCCTGGACATCATTTAACTACACTGAAGATGTCCCTCTGTAGAGCATAGGGAAAAGCTGGCATGTGGATCTAGAAAAGGTATAGAACAGTGTTTGGTACTTCTGCTCCTGCAATCCATGCTTGTCACACCAGAACAGGAAAAAAATAAGAGTTTTGTGCTTGAAAAATAACAGTGAATTACAGAGCTGCAAATGTCTTCTTTAGTAAAATCATGGTCTGAAGAAGAAACTCAGTAACAGAGCACTGGCTGAGGCCAGTAGAATCTCTAATCAAGGAGAGGTAACAGAAGAGATTTGAATACTGGTTTTGAAAAAACAACCCATAAATTTCTGGACCTAGATGAAGAACAGAATATTGAACTATAGAAGTAACTTGAGTTCTGAATTAAAAACTTTGGCGTTTTTACTCCACAACACACAGCACTGTTGGAACAGTAAAACGTGTGAGTTTCTCTTTATTGGTGACCTCTGAGTCTCCTTTCCTTACACCTGCCTTTTTCTACTCAGTTGCTTCCTGCACATTCAGGTGTCACACTTTGGACAGCATACCTTAGTCTACACAAAACCAAAGCATGCTGACCCACTTTCCATGTTTCCTGCATGGAGACAGAGGTTTTCTCAGGTAATTTTATGGCTCTGCTTTATCAATATGCACCGTTTTACTGCCTCAATTGTTTTTAAGGAGTCCTTGCTAAGCATTACAGTTAGGCCAGTCTTGCCTATGCCTGCACAACTTTCAGTGTCTGCATGAATTACATCACATTTTCAAAACTTTCCATGAGAGTGAAATTGCCTCCCCTCTGCCCTTCCTGACATGGAAGTGGTACCAGAGGGTGTGGGGTGTGACCTTACAGCTCCTTCTCTAGCAACTATCTACCTTCCCCTATTAAAAAAGACAATTTCCATGACAAATTCTTCAGAGTATTTTTAGTCAGTTTTCACTGATTTGGAGCTGCAAGTCAGCTCAATTAGTTCTCATCTTCCCAGTCCTGCAAAGAACCTGGCTCCATCTCCCCAGTGACCTGAAAGCCACTGGAAGGCTGCTCCTCTTCTCCTGGCTGAACAAGCCCTGCTCCTCCAGCCTCCCCTCATGAGGCAGGACCGTGCCCCAGCCCCAGTCACCTTGATGGCCTCCACTGAACTCACTCTTTGTGTACTTCACCAGTGAAGGATGCAGATACTCCCATTTCGATGCTTTTCCTCCTCTCCTTCTATAGGAATTCCAGGATAAGGACATACTATTTAGCTTGGTTTTCATTCAGTGAACAAGCACACTGCTGATTGAGACAACTGTTGGCCGCAGTGACAGAGAGGATAGTCTTTGAAGCTACATTTGGAATGGGGGACACCACTTGGGAGTTTGAAAAGTCACTTACTGAAAATACAAAAAAGAGATGTGGAGGAATATGTGTTGACAAGGTCAGGTTCTAGAAAGTGATGGGTGGCTTTATGGAGTGGGTTAAGTCACAGGGGTTAATCTATAATAAACAGTCCTAGCACACACATCAAAGAATTGTTACAGATTAATTAGCAGGTGCTATTATTAGCCATAACAATTTTTGTCTCAATTTCTGAAAGGATAAGATGCAAAACAATTACTTCATTCAGTCTAAATGTTTTACCCAACTCTTACAGTGAGGGGTATTTGGACCACAGCCTCCAAAACAAGAGGAGCTGATGCAGAATGTGTATGTAATTTATAGGACAGAAATAGCAACTTTCTTGATCAAAAATACATTCTTGCCTCACCTTGTTTTTATAATGATTACCTTTGATTTAGTCATCTGAAATCTGGCAGAAGGGAAAATAAAGGGGAATTTTCTGTGACTTACTGTCCATTGGTTTGGACAGCTCAAGAGACTCCTCTGACCAGTACAAGCTGAAAACCACTATGACATTTCCTTCTTTCTTTTCATGTACCAGCTTTGAAGACTTAATTGCAATCTGATAATTCTCCAAAAGAACACACCACTCCTCTTCCTAGTGGTGTTTCTGGGAACCAACAGTTTCTGTACTTCCCTGAAGTGTCAAAAGTCCTCATTCAACGTAACATCTCTGATCCAAATTTTCACCCATGTTTTTGCTTCTGAAGTCCCATTTCTTTTTAATGGAAGAGCAAAGCTGCATGTGTGAAAGACAGATGACTGCAATGACTTCACATTCATAAGAGAGAAATCCTCACAGTTTGTGTCTTGATTTGGTAGAACAACCATTGCAGAAAAGGTGGCTTTTCAAGTTCCTTCCACCATTGGAAAAGGATGTAAAAAATGACAGCTTGTGCATGGTTTTGGTAGGATCTTGTAATAAGTTCCTATCCAGGTGGATGGTAAATCTGCAGGAAACACAGCACCCCATCCCTGACTAACCAGCAAATTGAGTGCACTGTGGAGAAGGAAGGACCCAGGCCAGTCATGAGACAAACAAATGAGCACAGTATAAAACACTACCCAGCAAACCATCAGCTTATTTTTAAACAGACTGCTGGATTTAACACTGATGAAGTTGAAAACAAGAAAAAAGGAAGGCAGTTCTTCAGCACTAAAGGCAGCAGCAGAATTTTTAATATTTATTTTTCCAAAAGAGCATATGAGCATGGGAAAAGAAAGCAACTAATTACTGGACAAAGAAACTTCAGAATTATTTCTGCCTTCCCTTCACATAAAGTCATGCCTTTGGGCCCAGATTCCAAGCTGGTATCTGGACTATTTGCCTTCAGCATCACACTCATCTCTTGAACTTGTCCACCCAGGCTGCTGCAGACACTACATTTTGTAAAACTGAAAAAATAAAACTGTTTCACTTTTAATTCTAGTAACCATGATTAAGCACAGACCACTCCTCTGAGTGTTCCAGGTAGTGAAAAATGGTTTAAGATGGTGAACACTACTGAAGTCATGGAGTGTACACGGGAGTCTTTGCCTTTGTTTCCAGTGGCTTTGGCTCAGAACCCAAGAACAGCATGGAAAGTAAACATCCTGATAAGCAATATCCAGACTGCCTTTGTTACTATAGACCAAGACAGAATTTGATAGAGCACAAAGGCAAGATTGGTGTCTCCCATTTAACACAGTCCCTATGAATTCCAGAGGTTCTTACAAGTGTTACGGAGTTCTGTGGAGAAAAGTTACATAATTATGAGCTGTGATTTATTTCAGATACTTGTAAAATTGAAAACACTTCCTACATAGTAAATAAGTAAGGCCCTCCTGATACAGTGCAATCAAGTGAGCAGATTACAGGTTCAGTACTGTACCCAGTCTATTCCTGTCAAAGCCTCATTGTTACATCAAAGGGTTTGTGGCTCTGTTCCTGTCTCAACCAGACATGGACTGCATTCAAGTTACTTTTTATGCTAAACGCCACTCATATTGTGTACATTCTTTGTATAATTATGCCAGCTATAAAATCTGCACCTTTGCTTATGAGGATAATGAAGTTAGAGTGCAGGGACTGGCTCTCCATCTCAAATTTAATAACAAATCCTGGATGCCTTTTCAGTGCATTTAATCAATTAGAAATAACCAGACCTGGCATAGTGTCACTGTGACATCCTACGGGCTCTATTCTGTCAACTGGGAGCAGGATTTGGAGACCTCGATATTTTTAAACCATGTTTCTGAAGTAGTTGTAAAATGATCATTATCACGTCAGTACCCCCTAACTCAGAGCCATGCTAGTGGAGAATAAGCAATTTCCTGCTGTTTGTCCCCAGAGTCCCAACCTGCCTGACAGCTGCTGTGTGCCTTTTAAAGGTCTCCTGAGTTAACCACCTCAAAAGCAATCTGAGAATTACTTTTGAAATCTTGGCCAGAAAGCCGCTATGTACTCTGAGAGATACTTACAGCTAGAAAAAGGACAAACTCAACAGAGCTCTTGGGGGAGAGAAAGTTTTAAGACTCAACAGGTGTCTGCATTCTGTACTGTAAACTGTGGTTTAACACACCATTTATGTGACCTCTAGAAATGGGAGGGAAAAACAGAAAATAAAAGAGAAAGCAGTCCTTGCAGTTGCATAGTTGTGGAAATGAAATACTCTATTTTTAAGTATGAAAAGTCAGTCCCCAGATTGAGTCAGTATAAGGAAAGTGGCTCCAGAATATACAACCTTTGCCTGTGCCCATCATCATGACACAATATTTTCCAGACTAACTTCTGTTTGAATTTGTTTTCAGTTTTCCTTGTTCCTTGTTTCACACTAGCTGAGACACAGCCTACTTTTTGTAGGTGAAATGACTGCTAAGAAATTGAAGCAAGACTGAGAAAATCCCAGATCCTGTGTAATTTTACTTAATGCAGAACATGAGTCAACCTCATGAGCCACAAGAATTTATTGTTAATTTTGCATCTTTTAAAATCCATTCTGTGGAAGGGGAGAATATTAATCAAAACACCAGCAGTTTTAAACTCCTCTCAACAAGAATGAATACCAGACATGGTGCAAAATATAAGGGGTAACAATATAAAGATATTAAGTGCAATGTTTTTTAAACAGATGATGCAGAACCCCAGCAGAAGGAAGCCCAAAGGTAATGAGGCCACTCAGTCTGAAGTTGTGCAGCTGCAGGTGAAATAAAGAATTTAATATGGGGTAGTGATATAGGCTCAAGCTGTGCCAGGGGAGGTGAGGTTCAGGTTGGACATCAGAAGGAGTTTCTTCACAGAAAGGGTTGTCAAGCATTGGCAGGGGCTGGCCAGGGAGGTTTGGAGTGCCCATCCCTGCAGGTGTCCAAGGAAGGCCTGGATGTGGCACTCAGTGCTCTGGGCTGGGGACAAAGTGGGAATTTGGCACAGCTGACACTCCATGGGCTGGAAGTCTTTTGCCTGAATGATTCTGTGAAGCACCCAAACCAAGCTGGCTCAGAAGCTGCTGATTAAAAAACAAAATCCAAATTAATCCTTTTCAGAATGGATTCATGCAGAACATGAAGGCAGATTCTTCTGGAGGAAAAGTCACCCAGGTTGATAGTTACAGAAGGGGTAAGTCCAGTGTCCACAGGTAAGGACAGCAAACAGCAGTCCCAGAACCTTCCTCTTCAGACTCTACAGGTGCAGTGAATGATGCCAGGGACCTCTCCCCCAGTGACAAACACAAACACTGTTAAGCTCTTAGGCGCAAGTGACAGATGCCTCCCTCTGCTTCTAAACTTCTAAAAAACTATTTTAAATATCAAACACAATTATGAGGAAAACAGAAAATAGTCCTCAAAGAACAGGGTTTTTTTTAAAGTTAATGTGTCTGCCCTGCTTAATCACAAGCTGAAAGGAGTACTTGATGACCGGTGTATACTTCAGTTAACACTATTTCATAAAACCTGGCTTGACAGAAGTATAAGATAAATTAATCAAATAATACAAAGGTTGAAAGACGCCCCAGCTGGCTCGTGCTCCAGCAGAGGTACATCAGTTCTGAGCAGCAGGCAATGCTGCAGGAAAGGGACAGACCAAGTGAGCAGTGCAGGTCTGTGTCCAGCAGTGTTTTGTGTCAGGGATTTGCTTTAGACTGCTCTGACCAAGACCCTGCTCACCCCAAATCCCGTCTTTGGGGTGACACTGAGGGACATGACACTGTGGACCATAAAGCTCTAATGACTTACAGTTAGAGCAGTCTTACAGGACTCTCACAATGAATAAGTACTATGATATTGAGTATTTAAGACTCACAGATGTGCTGCCTGTTCAGTTTGCAGCTTATCAAAGCTTTCTATGAAGGCACAATTTATAATGCCACGTTAAAAGCTTTTACAAATAAGAAACTGTTTCCTCTAAAAAAGATGTGAGAGAGTATTATTTGTTTCTCCCAGAAATAGTGTGTATTCCTCTTCCTTACAGCATCACAGTAAATATTACTTCCTTATGACATTTGAAAATAAGCCAAACACCACGGAGGAGAGGTTTTTGTTTAGCATCAAGTCCTCATGCTCAAGTGCCCCTAAACAAAAAAGCAATGCCTGTGACATAACCCACCACGTGAGGAAGTTTACAAAGTGCTAAAGAATGATTTAAAGAATATTCCATTACTGACAAATGGTGCTAATCAAGGCCTGGTCTGGGTTGGAAATATTCTATTCAGTACCCATAGGGCTCAAATGACTCTGGTGGTGAGTGTGAATGGAAATCAGTAACACTTCTGACACAAGAATGTGATCAGAAGTGTATTGGTCTCTGGCAACGTGAAGGGCAGAATGCTATCCTGGATATTACATAAAACATGAATTTACAATCTTGTCCATACCAAAACCTGAAATGAATAAATTAATTACAAAAATAAATAAAAGGGAAAGATTTTCACTATACAGGAAGCTTCTGCATGAGGCTCCAAGGCTGGTAATAACCAAGGTGGTCTTTACCATTTCTCTGTGGACTTGAGAGCAGGAACATAAGCACTAAAAATACATTGACCAACCCACTGCTACTTCTCTATCTTTTGACATGTTACTTCCATATTTGTAATGTACAGATTATTCACACACAATTTCAGCTTTAGGTTTCCAAGGCTGTGTATACACAATACAGAAAGTATAGCACCAGTGTTGGTTCTGGTTAGACTGGACATTGGTAAGTCTGTAAAGTGATTTAAATTATTAATTCTCCTTACTTCAAGAATGCAAAGCATGGTATCACTTTATTAATCAGAAGTCTCCCACTGTCTTTCCTTGTTCTAATGTTTGTCTTGCTCTTGCACAACAAGCCTCCAGTTAAACTCTCACTACCTTAATCAAGAGTTGCCTGCATACAACATTTGAACTGCTAACTTTGCTCAACTCCTAACTGTGGAGTACCTAGGAGAAGTTATTGACTCAAGATCCCACTGGAACCAGCTGCAAAAGTGTTTTTGTCAGTGTTTTTGGGTTACTACAATCACCTATCAACAGCTCATCACTCACCAGAATTGGCACAGAAATGGGTTCCTCATTGCAGTAAAAGAAACTGAAGCCTATGAACACGCTTGTTCCCTTTTACTGCTCTGTCAGCAGCCTCATGAGCATCATGAGTTTTTTAAACTCTTCAAAAATAATTATAGAACACAACACAGCCTCATTTACCCACCATATTTATGGTCAGAGATTCTGGAGGACTGAAAATGGGAACACAAGTGCTCCAGTCTATTTGGGGTTGCTATTTTATACCCAATTGCCACAGCAGAACCCCAGAGGATGCTGCCTGTGACTGTGCCTTTGTCACCGTGGGCAGTAATTGCCAGCACAGCAGCATCAAGGGAGTAGGGAACAGCTCTTCAGGCTCAGCAGGGCTGGGTGGCAGAGAGCTGCTTAAACACAGGTAAAGAGAACTCACTGTGTAACTCTCAGGTCAGGCAGGTCAGTGAGTGATAAATTTGGACAACTCCAGGGTCAAATGACTTCTGAGCAGAAGTTTTTAGAATAATAATTTTGGTTGAAAGTACTGAAGCTCTGCCCAAAACCCCTTTCAGAGTTCAGGTTCTCATTTACATCTGGGTTACTATAACATCTTTGGTCTCAAATTATGCTGCTGGAGAATGGAATTTCTATAATGTCTTGAAAACATAAAAGCCTCAGCTCTGCAGCTGAAGGACTCTTCAGTCCAGTCATTACAGAAACATTTCTGAGGTACTGGGGTTACTATAACAAGAAAGTAAATAGTTGTTAGCATCATATCTCCTCACCAGAAGGAAAATTACTTGTATATTGAGTAAAGTTATCTTTGACTCTATTAAGAGTCTTTTCACTTTGAAAACCAGATTACGTTTGTAGAAAAGTCCTTCAGACATCTCCTCATGCCTCCAGTTGAATCACTATATTTAGTCATGATGTCTCCTGCCTCACCAATCATGTTCCCTGTCTGCACCCTACTGAGAACTGAATGCTCTATCAATTTTCCAATTTACAGATCCTGATCCTCCATATCAATTAGATCTACCATACCTTTGGTCTGATGCTCTCACATCCCAGCTGGCACCTCATACATCTAGAGCTGCAGACAAGCCATGGCTCTACCTTCCAGCTCCATGGTCCTTTCCCTCTTGAACTAGCCATAAATTAAATAACAGGCGTGTAAGAATGATATAAACACATGCAATTATCCTTTTTGTAACTGAAAAAAAATATTACATCTCACACTACCAAAAGTCAATTAAAGCCATAGAGGGGTGTGATCATCCACATTTAAAGTTCAGGAAACTGCCGTGCTTCCATACACTGTTAATCCCACTAAGAGTTTTTAATTGCTATTGCAGTGATACAAAATTCACTACATCTCTGTGCTACAGACCACACACAAAGAACAGACCTGGAGAACAGCACAGGTCACCTATTTGCTGGTCTTGATCAGAAGCAGCACATTCAGAGAGCTTCTACCCAAAAATGCTTGAGCTTTTTTATTAGTGTTCAAGATCATACTGAATATTCCTTGTCAGCTGCCAAGGTTGAAGCTTTCTGTGCTCTACCTTGCACAAAATTATTTTGAAAGTTTAAACCAGAATGGCTGCAATGAAAAAAAAAAAAAATAATGTACCTAGGTAGAAAGACAAGTGGCTTTCCTCACACGGGGAAACACCTCCTCTGTTGAGAAAGTCTATTACCTTCCTACTTTACCTGAAGTTAAGCAGAAGGTTGGCTCCAGCGTAATACTGAGTGTCATCTGGTGGAGAAAAGGACTTGAGAAGGAGAAATAAGGGAGGTAGAAAGGCAAGATGAGAACAGCATTAAGGAATAGGTAAAACAAAGACAACAAAAGTTAAGGGTGCATAGGGGTGATGTGAAAGACACGGGAGTAGAGAGAGGAACAGTAGTGGCGATGGCAGAGGGAAGTGTAGCAGGGAGCAGGAATTCCAGGAGAGGAGGGTTAGCAGAGAAAAGGCAGTTTTTTGATGCAATGCTTTCTGAACTTCAGCGGCAGCCCCGTTTCTGCCGCGGTCGTGCCAAACTCCGAGCCCGGCGCTCATCCCGGCCCTGCCCCGGCCTGCGCGCCGGGCGGCACCGCCACCTGCCGGCGACCCGCCGCCACTGCAGCCGGGCGGGCGCGGCCGGGCCGTGCGGAGCCGCCCTCCCTCGGGACACCGGCCCGGCACCGGCAGGGCGGGCTGCGCACAAGGACACCGACTCCCCTGTCTGAGGGACATTTGTTATGTGCTGCAAGGCCTTCTGAAGCCTCTGAGCTGCAGAGCATCGCACAGGCGGTGCCTGCGCTGTCTGGGGCACGGACCCGGCTGAACAGGCACCGACCCCTCTCAGCGGGCACTCTGACAACAAGGACCATCCCAGCAGAGGCTGATGTGACCCAGCAGAGTGCCAGCCATAGCCAGTGTCACACACACAGAGGATGAAATGCTCAGTCCCCAAATCCACGGTGACTGATGCAGGGGAGCCTTGTCCCCAAAGAGCCTGCACAACAAGTGTTATCACACCCCATTGATTCAGGCCTAACAGTGTAATGCAATAAGGTACTCAAATGTTAGGCAAGCTTGGGCTTTAACTTAGAAGTTTGTGATTATACAAAGCAATTTACAAAATTCAATTTCTTCAGAAGTATTAATTTAGCTTCATGACATCCCAGTGAAATACAAGTTATTGTATTTATATTATCCAAGAGAAAACTTCAAGCAATAATTCTCATATAGTACTGGGCTTGACCGCAAGTCCTCTAAGGATGTTTACCAATGTCTTCCTTGGTTTCATCCTTCCTCTTCTACTTCTGGTTTTTATACTGAAAAAAAAAAAAAAATTGTAGGAATGAGCACATAACTAAGTAGAAGTTCATACCAACAATAATTTACAAATCTTCTTCATGATCCACATAAATTTATGTCTACTTTCTTTAAGGCAGACTGAAATTTGGTAGGCTTTCCCTTTGCAGTATGAAACAATAAACCAGATACAGTTATTGACTAGATTGTACCTGCTGGGATTTGGTTACCACTAAAATATCATAATCTGTGACTAATCTGTGCTTGTTCCTGTAGCAATTCTCATTTGGATTTCATGGACTGGCAGAGAGAAGGACTTAACAGCCACTTAGTAAATTAAATCACAGATATTTAGAGAGAAAGTTGGACTTTTGACTTGTTTAACCATGTTAAAGTATCACACTCCCAGCCAGACTGAAATTCCAGGAAGCACAGGTGACTCTCAGCTGTCTAATGGAAACCATCCTCATTTTTTCATCTGAGAAACCAGTCTGACAGCACAGGGGCAGATCCACTGGGTGACAACTGTGCACAGGGGCTTTGCCACTGTGTGGGCTATCCCTGATCTCTGCAGCCATGGGCAAGCTCTGAGGAAAAGCAATAGTAGTTCTGGAAGTTCCTCTAAATTGTCTGAGGATAGATGCTGTTAGGAAAGCAGATGATGCATAGCAAGATGTGGCTTGTAAAATGCTGTATTTTAATTTTTTCTCCTTTAATAGAGTGATAATAGCCACCACTGCTGATATTTTAATAGAATTCTTCATGGAAACAAAGACACAGAGACCAGCCTAAATTGTTACTGGTTCTGAAAAAAACCCATAATTAGTTTATACTGACTAAGATAATTTTTGAACTAAAAATGTCAATCACAGATCCCTCCTGGCTGGGTATTTCCTTTCAGCCAGACACTTCAACATCCAGGACAACAATTTGCTATTCAGAACTTGATTTCCAATGTTTTCTTCTTTGCTCTGAACTGAAACCAAAATGCAGACAATCCGAAGCACTTACTTTATTCATTACCCAGTCAGCATCTTCAATGGCTCTCTTAATGATCTGCTGTATTCGCTCAGGATCATCTTCATCAGCATGGACTTTGAAACTCTGCAACATTCCAAGTATCACTGACTTGTCAACACAACAGTTGTCAAAATAAAGATAGCATTTAAATCTCAGAAAAATATTTGTTGCAAATAAACTGTTGGTCTAAAAAGGTAAAACCACACATTCGGACACCTGGCCATCCTCTTTCCATAACAAATCTGGTCATGTGGAATTTCGTGTTAAGTATTCTACTCCTTTCATATATCAACAACAAAAACCCCAGAGAACTTCAATTCAGAACAATTGAAATTGCCTGGTATGTTAAAACTAGAAACAGGACAACAGGTATGATCAAAGGCATGAAATTACTTCCATATGAAGTATAGAATATGAACAGCCAGATGAGATTTACCCTGATGGGGGGATATATGAATGACTGACATGGAACCAGTGGGTTTCACCATAAAAGATGTGTTTATGGAGTAAGTAATGACTGTTCACTCTCTTGACTAACACAAGAATTAGAGATGAAAGCCAAGAAAAATAGGTTTCAGGTTCAAAGGAAACAAAAAGAAATGGTCCTTCACACACTGCCACTGTAACCCTTCAAAGGTGGAAGGTGTCGAGCTTGCAGGAGAGCAGTGTGTGCTGGTTCAGCGGCAGAAGCGCCCCAGAGCCCGGGCTGCACGCACCTGCCGGATGGCGTGTCTGTAGTGCTGCTGGACGGGGCCCGGGGGCAGGCGGCGGCAGCAGCGCAGCAGGTACCGGTACAGCTGCAGCGAGCTGCGCACCAGCTGCGCCTCCGGCAGCGGGGACATGGCCGGGCCGCGGCTCTGCAACACACAACAAACCACAACACCGTCAGCTTCACCGACAACAGGAAATACAAGTGCCAAGTGATAGTGCACAACGAGAGCAGGTCCGGCACGCTGAGGCTTGGCAGCAGGGCCTGCAGAAGCTTCAGAATAAACCCCAACGTGAAATGAATGAGAACTTGCTGAGTTTATGGACAGACGGGGGCTGGCCGTCACTCCTCGAGGGGGTAAAGTGCAGAGCTCACTCCAGAGGATCAGTCTGTGATGGGAATAGCCACGTGAGACACAGTGTTTTACAGACAGACTGCCAGTGTGACTTTTGGGGAGAACCTAAACCTGTATCACAGCCCACTGCCAGGTTCCTACTTGCTAAGCCAGGATCCTTAAAAGTCCCTCAAACTTCCAGTGCTTTCCTTGAGCATCCCTAGGAGTTCATCCACAATGTGTCTTTTTAGAACGAGGACACTCATAATGGCTACAAATGGTGCTCGAATTTAACAATATTTCCTATTCTGTCATTCTGTCAAGAGTTTCAAACCTTCAGCTGGAAACAACACGGATAAATATAGAAGATAGAAAAAAACATTGTTAGGTTTGAAATTTTATATGTATTGGTAACAGCAACAGGAAAAGAACAAATCTACCAAGTTTCACGTCCATAACTATATTTACATGTCGTAACAGTAAGTCCATCCAAGTCCTATAAAGTGCTAATCAAAGACTGTAAATGCCTTGTCATTTAACAGATGGTTGCCATCTGCAAAGAGCTAAATTAACATTTGGAAAAAGGCACTTTTTACATCATTACTCTTAAGAATAAAAATAATAAATAAGCAACTGAATAATGAAGTAGGTGCATGCCATTGTTTTAGAACCATTATGATACCTACTCATTATCTGAAATATTTTTTTCCTTTTTCTTAAGTAATTTAAGTCCTTTAGCCAAATGTATTTCAGAGTACATCACGACAGCTATTACATGTCTGGGCTGTATATTTGCACAGACTAAATCTTGTTGCAATGGGGAAAATCTCTTCTCTATGCTCCTATAAATGCCCACCATAATGGGATCAAAATACTACCAAACTTCAACACATTCATCTCTTGTTTTCTTACAATGTTTTTTTTTTTCTGTAAAATATCCTTTTCTCTTTGCAGTGAAATATATGCTGGGCATCAACTCCATGCATTTTTGGTTTGGATTCATTTCACTGTGGCATTCAAGTATGGGAGGTGATTACATGCCCAACAGTCAGCTGAGAGATCCCTGCATTCCCCTTCAAGCAGCAGAAAGACAAGCAACTCCAAAATATGACTCCTCACATATAGACTGAATTATCCCCTGCCCTTTCCTCCATCAGAGACAGAAGTTTTATCATCCAATACAGAAAATTGGAATATGTAGCTGGATTCAAATTGATCCGAGTCCAAATTTTACTTTACACGCAAGTTTTTTGGGCTGTATTCTTGGCTGGTTAAGAATTTGTGTAATTCCACTGACCCTAAGAACCCAACCCTGCATTTCACATATTCCCATTTAATACAGTGAAACACATTCCAAAATTCAATACAGATCCCAAAATACATTTTGGGACCAGAGCCAATTTGTGAAGTTGTTTCTAGGCTTTGATGTGTAAACTCATCATATGTCACTGTGCTCTAATTAAACCTAAGTGGTGCAATAGATTTCCTGTCACAAATGCAAAAATCCCTCTTGTGCTGGGACTGTCCAGGACAGCTTGCTCCAGCACACAGAACAGGAGCTCTGGGAGAGAGGAAGAAACCAGTCATGGAAACATATGGATATGGAAAGATGAAGCTGATCAATGGAATTGAAAATGTTTCACTATAGATAATTAGGAATTTTCCACTGCAGTAATTTTTCATGGGAAAATGATGAGCTGTTGAATTCAAATTGGCTGACAAATACATTTGCACAGATGAATTTGTTTTGGGGGGGGAAATCCCTTTGCCTTTCATGAATACTGGACATTCTAAAAGGTTTGAAGATGGAAATTTACACTCCATCTATTATCAAACCTAAACTCCTATGAGGCTCTCATATTCAAATTTAAAAACCAAACTACCTGAGTTCTGACAGATACACAGCTCCAAAAATGCTACAAATGCTGTTATATGGCAAGCTTCACAGGGAAGTTTATCACCAAAGATTTTTGCTTCTCTTAGGATGTAACTTCATCCAGTGAAAACCTCACTGGAAATCTACCACAGCACATGGAAAAATTCATGGCTATTTTGGTAAAGTGGCTGTTTAATAGGAAATAATCTCATGACTTGCCCATTGTTAAGTTGTAAGATACTGGTACCCTGTACAAGCACACCTCAAAGGGACTAGATCCTGACAACAAGTAATGCTACACCCTCCTCCTGTGCACCCAGATGCACTGGAGAATCTGCATAGCCTCGACTGTGATTTGCCCCTTGCTCAGCACAAAAAGGACAATGAAGCACAGTAAGAATCTGCACTGCTGCCTTTTGTTCTGAAAACATTTCCCCTCGAATCCCACAAATGTTACCAGTTTTATCTGCCATATAAAAACTCTCAACCTCACAAAATCTGGCTATAATCCTGACTAATATTGTAAATCTCCCTCTGAAAACTTAAATATCATGCACAGCACAACAAACAAACGATCTACACCAAGAACTGTTGAGTCAGAAATAAAATAATCCGCTAATTGTGCTTTTCTGGAATGGATGACTGTATAATGTCCTAATCAGAAGGCTGAAATCACATTTGCATTTAGATAAAGCCCTGTTCACAAAGAGACAAGTATAAAAGGAGACACTGAGACTATTGTGGCATTTCTCTGCATTGCATAATTATTTACGTTCCTGATAATGATATTCAGATAGTGAAGCAAAGGCTGACCAAAGCCAATTAATCTTCACTCTGCATTAGCAGGTTTGGCAATTGACCCCGTGCACAGCAGAACCCTGATGAAGCTGACACTATGCCACTGCTCTCAGTTTACTTTTTTCCCCTGCTATTTTGAGTGTTTTTCAAGCAAATCCCCACAGTACAACAGTCACAATCCCTATCCCTCTGAACTAGTTAAACAGCCACCAAAGCTGGGCTCCAGAGACTAGAAGTGTTAATTAAAGGACTACAAGAGTTACCTGAGCTGTTCCTGTTTACAGGTTGGCTCCTCCTTCCTGCTCAGCCATCTCTTTCCCCAGTATATAGGCTAGAGATGTGTTTTACTGCTTTGAAGTATTACACCCTCAGAAGTCTTAATCAGGAATTTATGATTCCCCATCCTCGTCAAACCTCGTGATCTCAGGAAAAATAAGAATGCCAATATTACAAAGAAATTTGAAGCCTTTCTGAAACCTCTTTAACTACAAAACATCTTAGTTCACGTTGTGACATCAGTCCAGGAAGGCACCCAAGTGAACTGCTGCTACCCAGAAGGTTCTTCCTCTTTGGTCCCTTCCAGGTTTCCCAGATTCAGGCCTGTGAGTCCAGCCCCGAGTGCCTGCAGCAGGGGCAGAAGTCCCTTTTCTGGCACACGGCTGCCTGGTGCTCATGGCAGTGTCACACCTCCCCTCAGTCCCCAGTGGGTCACAGGAGGCAGTGAGAGGGGCTCTGGTGTCCCAGGCAAACCAGTCTGTCTGTCCATCCATCCATCCGTCCCTGCTCACAGGCACGAGAGGCTCGGAAGGCTTGGCAGCCCCAGGCACGGCTGCCCTGCAGCCCCGGCTGCCCTGCAGCCCCAGCCCTGCTGTGGGTGAGCACGGACAATGCTGCAGTCACTTCCAGCAGCCACATCTCGCTGGCTCTTATTGAGATCACGGCTTTGATGTGATCGCTTCTGACGAGCTGGGCCGGGCATTGTTGGGGTTTTGTCCTTTCTAAACACGAGCTGCCGAGTCCCCTTGCATGAGTGATGATAGCTGGGCCTGTTCACTTCTATTTCTGCTCCTCTCCCCCTTATGCTTTGATTGATGCATGAGGCAGAAGCAATGTCAGGTGAATCTGCAGAACAATTTGGGGGGCACAGCCCACAAGCCTAATGCTATTCAACAATGTTTAGAAATATTATAAATATAATAGAAATACAAACATAGAATTTTAATTGAGAAAACTTGAGAATGACAAAGAGTACTAGAGCTGGACATAATGACTACTTGTATAAATTAACCAAAGCCACAGGGCAGATGTCTTACATTACGGCCTGTTTTGGTATCACACAGCACAGACATGCAATACTGCAAATAAAACACTCAGGCTTTTGCAATCCTAGACCAGTGAGGAAACATGCTGCCCATGCTGAGGCCAGATTACCTTGTTCTGTATAATTAATAAGCATGATCAGACTAATTAGAGTAACATTCTTTGGTGCATGCTCACTAGTGAGGACCGGAACCTTCCTGGTTTAGGTGCAATTCAAACTTCTCCACTTTTTTCTCCTGAAAATTATTCTCCCGGCTTAAAGGAAATTCTGAAAGGCACAGTCTCAAAATAACTTTTTCTTCTCAGCTCTGAATTGTTCAGTTCAACTGCTGTTAAAATTAATTTTGTTCACAGTGACTAAATCTGTACGTATTTACCTTTGGGATCATGCCTGAATAGTTATCAACTTTAAACCAAAACTGCCTGCTCATTCCTTTCTTGTAAATATTGTATTTCGAAATGATCCAATGCTTAGTTCCAGTTCAGCAATTGTGATTCTCCCAACTACTTCATGTCAGTTAGTGCAACAACTTTCTGGCTGAGGTTGTATCTGTTCTGTTGGATGCTCTGAAATATCCAACTGGGCACCAAATAAGCTGCCACAACTGTTCTTGACAGACAGATACCCACTTGGCACCATAAGGCATGGAAGTGCCTTTGAAGGGCAAAACCATGCTGTCTGATTAATGACCACATTAACTCTGTGGACTATGGCACAGACAAGCATGGGAAGAACAGCAAGTCTTAAATAAGGTTTTGTAGTGGTTTTCTCAGCGGTTTGTTCAGGAAGACCTAAAATGGTTAAAGTTTATTTTACCAT